ATATTAGCAGGTGCAGACGTCGATCTCTCTTCTCGTCTTTCCCTCCTGCCCATTTCCGACTCAAACCGTCAAATAGACTGCGGGGATTTCTCAGTCACTTTAAAAAGCCAAATCCTCTTTCATCACAATTACTTTCTTTTTCTGAGTTCACGATTGCATTTAGTCGGTTCACCGAGATCATCTGTTCAGCCATCCCCCACAGGCGAGGCGAACTCAATGATTATTTGTCAATCATAGCCGAGCTCGCGTTGTCCTATGGAGGGGGGCATTTTTACACGTACCACAAGCTTTTTCTGCAAAATGTGCAGTACGAGTCGTCCAATGGAAACTTGATCCAGATCTCCACAGCCGAGTATTTTTAGGCTGCAGGAACATTTCTTGTGCGGTTTGTAGTTCAGTCGCTCACTCCACCATGACTTGCCCACAAATCAACCCCTCTATACCCTCATGCCCTGATACTTCCTCGGTGAAATCCACCAACTACGTCCCAAGATCCGCAACTACTGCAAACTGAGCAAACAGCCCCATCAGCAGCAGATAACAGGCAGTCATGCATCTCATTCAACAGCAGGAGATGCATCAGATTCACATCTGCAGATTCTGCGGCGGATCTCACGCCCACATCGTTTGCCCAGTGTACAAAGCTGTGAATAAAAAATCAAAAAATTACCTATCGACTCCCGTGAATATTTCTCGCCTGACCATCGAACTCGCTCACCACCCAGACAAAGAATTACTAATTATCTTCTGTCTGGCCTCAGACACGGTTTAAACCCTGGCGTCGAATGCGTGCTTTCCCAAAATTTAATCTATAATAATCTCCAATCCGCCCACGCAGAGTCCGACGTCGTAGACAACCTAATCAAAAAAGAAGTCAAGTCAGGCTTTATGATCGTCCCTTTCGATAAACCCCCCTTCGAAACGTTTCGCGTCAGCCCCATCGGAGTGGCTACTAGGAAATTTTCAGGTAAGAAACGCCTAATAATTGATCTGTCATCACCACATAATTCCACGGTCCCAAGCATTAATAGCTTGATCCCTCTTGACGAATTTTCTCTCAAGTACCACGACATAGATCAGGCAGTCGAATTGATTAAAATTGCGGGTCAAGGAGCCTGGCTCGCAAAAATAGACATTACTTCTATCTTCAAAGTGATGCCTATTCATCCGGACTCATGGCATTTGTTCGGGATACGATGGCTCGGGAAATTCTATTTCGCCGTCTGTTTAACCTTTGGATGCAAAAGCAGCCCCAAAATTTTCGATATGTTATCAGAAGCCATTTGCTGGATCTTATCCAATAATTACGCAATTCCTCACCTCATTCACCTCCTAGACGAATTTCTGGTCATTTCACCTCCCGACGCAATCCCAGCCACCCACATCCTCACAGTCCAAAAAGTTTTTTCCGAGCTTGGGATCCCCATCGCTTAGGAAAAAACCATGGGTCCCGCTACATTTATCGAGTTCCTCGGCATCAACTTAGACTCAGCTAAATTTCAGCTCTCCCTGCCCAAGGAGAAGATCGATAGAATAATCCTCATCTCCTCTACCCTCCTCGCCAACCCAAGCTGTTCTAAACGCGAACTCCTTTCTCTGCTCGGACACTTAAACTTCGCAATGCGCATCATTCCCCAAGGCCGCCCTTTCATCTCGCATCTTCTCTC